CATAAAAAAAAATGTACGAAGCAAAATTTTAAATGTGTTGGCCTCTATATCCGCCAATGATGGTATGTGTCGGCCCGGTATATTGTACAATACTAACTTCTAACTTGACGTGCCAAGAAAATTCGTAAATTTTTCTTAGTTAGACAATGAGGGTTTATTTACTTTTCATTGATTTTTCTTTCTTTTCTTTTTAATTCTTGATAAATGGAAAACTTCTCAATTAAGAAGAGGAAAATGTCATAATGTTGCATTAGTCTTGCTTTAATTAAAAAAGTAGAAATCATGTAACTAACTTTGATTTTCCTAGAGAAATTCAAATATCTATAGTCATTAGCAACTAATTAACAAGACTAATAAAGACCGTGATTTTAGTCATTGGCTTTATAATTTAAGACTCTGTTTGGTGCACATTTTGGGAGTAAGAATACATTTTTATTATTGATGTGATGGGAAATATGTAATTGAAAAAGGAAAAGTTATTGATGTGATGAAAAATATTATTTTATTGAAGAACGTGTGGTTGAAAATAAGTAGAAGAATGAAAATGAGAAAAATATTATGACTCAAACAGGGATTAAGTATGACTGATAAATAGTACCGTAATTATAATTTAGTGTTTTAGGTTACTATCTATTTTCTAATATGGCTTCTTGTTTGAAAGTTCTTGAATTAGGTGGGTTCAAGAAAATTGACTTTTTACATTTTAATAAGTAATTAACAAAAACAATTAAATAGATTGAGTCAATAGACGCCACAAAAATACAAAAACAAATATAAAAAAAAATGAATGACTTGATCATCACTGCACATTGAGGAAGACAAACATAGAAATTGCATAGAATTAAGGAGAAAATATTGGAGTCCACATCGACTGCAAAGAAATTGGACGATTTCATATGGAGTGTGATCAATTTATTAAATATTAAGAGCATAGAGAATAATATAGTGGGAGACGTAAAATGATTTTTAATATATATTGAGATTTAGAGTGAGCTTAGAAAGTTAATTATTTAAGTAGAATGGGTGGTTATTTATGTTATTTTACTTATAACAATTTTAGTAAATAAAAAGCTGTTTAAAATCGTGATATAACGTATGAAAAATGTAGTGATAATATAACCACTCGATTGGTTATTGTACAATGTTTGATCGAAGTCCATGCCATGAATTGGTTCCCAATCCATACCTCGAACATATAAAAACAATTTTTTATAAGTAATTATGTAAAACAATTTAATTGTAGTAAACTATCATCATTGAAGATATTTAAATATCGAAGTTCGACAACAACCGGTTTCGGTTCAAGTATCATTTTGGAGCTTCAAATGACGAAAAATCATACTATGGTATTTAAAATTTGAAGATGATTCTGATTAAGTACAAGAAGGCCTCCACCAATGCCAGAGATGAGGTAATGGTTATCATCCAACTTCTCACATAGATGAGAAATCTCTCAGATTACTTGGTGGATCACTAGCTCCCATCATTTGCAAGCAAATGGTCCTTATTACCAAGGAACCATAGGTCTCGAACAATGGAAGGAAGCTGGACAACCAAAGGCTGAGAAATCTTTATGATGACTATGGAATCTAGGAACAATTCTCAAACCCTTATCATTTTGCAAGCTAATTGTCAAGTCGAAGCGATCTATAAAATTATCAAGAATGCTCTGAAGAGGAAATTTAATGCCTTAAAAGGAGCTTGGATTGACGAGAGAAGTTGGTTCAGGCATCCTCTGTCCATACTGGGAGGAACCATCCCGAATTTCCATCGAGATCCTACTTGAAAGTTAATCCTCTGTCCATTGGCTATTAAAAAAAAAATTGGATGATAACTAAGCTTACAAAATCTTTATCTCATTGACCAACTTTTAAAAAGTTTCTAATGGTTATCAAACTTATCATATCGTTATCTTATCAATCACTCAATAACTCACTGTTAAAAAATTCAACAGACCTACAATGCGACAAACAAAAACACTGACGGGCACATTATTGTCATTAATTGATGCAAAAAAGCAATAAAGATAATACTAAGGCACCGTTTGGTAGCCAT